GGACAACCCCATAGAACAGATGCAATTCAGATATCTGGGCATAGATATATCAAGCACCCACGACCAAGTAAAGGACCTGAGGATGGAAGACCACTGTCAGGATGTCTGCGGGAGATAGTCTGGTCAAATCCGTATATGCGCACAGATAGTAAAATTAGAATCTATAAGACTTGCATACGACCGATCATGACATATGGCATTGAAGTGCGCGAAGATACCAACAAAACGAAACAGATGCTAAGAAACAGATGCCGAAATGAAAACCCTAAGAACAATATTGGGGAAAACAAGAAGAGACAGAGTGAGAAATACAAACATTAGAGAGCAGTGCAAAATTCAAGATATTGTAAGATGGGGAAGGCAGCGCAAGAGGATGTGGTAGAAGACCACCTAAAAGATGGAGGGATAGTTGGCAATCTACCTCCCAAGAAATTAACCAGAGGCAGCTTCAGAATTAAACAGATCGAAAGATCTACAAAAAGTAGAAGAAGAAGAAATTTTCTTAAATCTTCTCTTATAGCTTTTGATACTTCTTTATTTATTTTTCGTAGTTTTTCTTCGTCAGCTTTTGTTTCCTTTGATTTCTCTTCTAGTTTCCATTAGTTGCTTTATTTCAATGGATTTTTTTCTTGGCGTCTTTTAGTGCAGCATTTTTAAGGCAGGGTATTTACATTATTTATGCATCAATTTGGTTGTAGTATTTTATCGATGGTATTCTTGGTATTGTCTTGGTATTCATTTAAATTCGTTTGGTCGTTCCATATCTTTCTGTTATTAACTCGAATTTTAGTTTGGCTCTTACCATTCTATGATCGCTGCCTTTGTTAAAGCTATTAAGGACTGTGACATCGTTGAATATATGTTTTTTGTCACTGATTATGTAGTCTATCTCGTTTCTGATCTTGCCATCTGGGCTTTTCCACGTCCATCTTCTGTGGTCTTTTTTAGAGAAGCAACTATTCATCTGGTATAGAAAAAGGCGAGGCGGAAGACTGCGTTAGAGAGTTTGACATAATTCTTAAAAAGACAGCTATTAATATGAACTAAGGTGTAAAACTATGGATACATGGAGTTAGGGAGAATGACACTATGTAGCAAAGAAATTGAGATGATGATAATGTTTAAAGTTAATGTAGAAAGAATTCGTTTCTGCGTTCGTCACTGTGACCAACTCTTGTGAAGTAGTTTTAAATTTTAAATATACTTAGCATAAAATATTTGGTTAAATCACAGAATAATGCTAACAGATAAGAAACCAAATTGTTAAGGAATCATCATTTCCTTTATCTCCTAAACTGATAAAGAAGTTTGTATATATATTTACCGGATATAATTCACTTGTGGATATAATAAAATGTTTGGCATTTCTTCAACAGTTTTTTTGGTTCATAGTATAACCTCTTTTGGTTTGCAAATACCTTGTTATTCAAACATGTGTAGAAATTATTCATACCATTCATACTGCTCATTGTTTATATTGATTACATAGTAGCTCTTTCTATTGTTGTTTTGAAATACATACCTGGTTTGCTGGCCTATCTGTGATTTTTTATAATTATGCATTTGAAATAAAAAAGAATATTCTTAGTCATTATGGCTCCTTTTGTTCACGTGGAACTGACGGCATTATTTAACTAAGCATAATTATTATAACTTATCATATTTATTTAGCTTTTGGTGTAGAATCTTTTACCTATTTTTGTAAATTTCTGTTCAGTGATTAAACCAGTGGATGAGTCACGAAACTAGTGGTCAGATAGAGATATAATTGGACGAGACACATTGCAAGATATATGGAAATATAAGAATGACTGACTAGTTCGATGGAATCGAGCCGGGAAAGTCCCTTAACTAGATTTTTTCGGAAACCTTTTATTATAAACCACCTTCAATTTGTTTATGATATCCATTCCAGATTTCTGGAGCCTTGGTACAGTAAATTGGTACCATGTGTTTTAGGGTAACTTGGTAATGTCCGAAAAAGTGTTTGATAGTAACGATCTATTACCTCACAGTCATGCAAAATAAAGTTAGATGTTTCAGGTCGCGGATGGTCGTTTTTGGCACTCTTAGATTCCGCAAGTCTGTCGAATTCTTGTCAGCATTCTCAAATTAGCATAGCATATCTTAAAGCTGCTAAGAGCCCCCATAGCTGTTTGACTATATCTCCATATATTGATACTCATAACTTCGAAAGCCATCATGGTAATTTCTCTTGCACAATTCACGATTGCATAAATCTCTGTCTGTAATACAATACAAAGGTATATTATCTTAGTAGAATAGAAAAATGTTTACATTTCCACCACTACTGAATATCTCTACACCCGACCTTTCTACAGTTTTGGACCCGATGTTCAGGTTAGCTTTTTCTGCATTAACTTTGAAAGTACTAGGCACAGACTTCTTTAACATTTGCCTAAATATTGATAACATTACGAGATAGTCAGCGTATGCTAGAATTTGGTTACTATCTGTCTTTAAAGGTCCTGTTCTATTAGGCCACTATTTCCTATTACTCATTATATCATTATTATGAACACGGTTGTAGACAGGGGATCCCCTTGTATTAGTACTTATTTTGCTTCGGAACAGTTAAAAAGCCTGTAAATTGTAGATTTCAAAGGAGCCTAGTGGCCTCCTTTTTATATAAGATGTTTTATGTATACGCCACATTTATATTTAGTCCAACAGAACTAGATAGTCCTTGTAGGAAAGATATTTGTTACCTGGTCAGGTTCTCAAAAGACCTGTTCCAGGTACTTATGGCGTTGGCGAACAATTATCCTGCAGTTGCACATAATTTGTTCGACCGTCTCCTCATTATTTTCACAGAATCTGTATATTGCTCTGTCTAACTTGCCCATTTGCAGTTATGATGTCTAAGTGACCAATTTTTAATAAGAGCACCCGTGATTATTCTGCATTCGCTCTTCTGAAGCTCCAAGGGTATTTTTGAGTACTGAGAAGATTGTAATAGCCTTTTGCTTGCCATTGACCTGTAATATTTACCAAGTAGGTTACACGAATTTTTCTTCCCATTTTCTGACATCCTTATGAGTTTTTGGTATATAGCAGAATGACTTTTGTCCAATAATATAACATTTTTATCTGGTTTATTAGTTTTTTTGGTATTTCCAGGTTTTCCATCGCTCTTTGAATTGTATTGTAGATGGTAGTAGTAGAGCAGTAGAAGGAAAGGTGGAAGGCTGAAGACCAAGAGAGAAATCTCCAACGCCATGGGCAGACTAAATGAAGACTCTGTTACGAAGATATTATATTTATTAGTATTTGAATTTCATCTCCATATTTTGTAAGCCATCAATAATGACATACGCGGCAGAAACACGACCTGACATAGAGAAGAGAGGACAAAAAGGATGTTATAAATAGCAGAGATGAAAACACTAAGAAAAATTGATGGTAAAACACTATGGGACAGAGCTAGAAGTACCGATATACAACGTAGATCCAAGGTGAAGAACATCAAGGACTGAGTAAGAAATAGAAGAGTAGAATGGAACGATCATATAACCCGAATGACAACAAATATAGTAGTAAAGGGCGGAGACAGACCCCAATAGGAAGACGAACAGTGGTAAAACCACGAAAACGATGGAACAACAACTTACTGGAGGAAAAACAGATAAGAGTCAGGTTTACACAAAAAAAGAAGAAGAAGGTATTTTCCAATTTCAGCGTTTATTCCACTATCTCCCAGACTTTTTTGTCGGTTTTTAGTTTTGTAATTTCTCTTTTTGTTTCTTGTAGTGGTGCAGGGGATACAATTATTTAATTTGTTATTCTTTTATTTTTTCTTCTTCTGTCTCTATATCTTATCCGTTTAGGATTTACACAAAATATTCTTTCCACCTGGCAAGCATTTTGTTAGCATCAGAATTTTTATCTTTTTTGAAAAGTGTTCTTCGCTGTGATTCCTTATTTTTTGAATGAGAGAAAATATGGACGGAATCTGTAAAGAAAAAGGAATCGAAGCATCGAAGATGAATATGAAATAAGAAAACTAAACAACTGAAACTATTGTGTGAGGGTCCAAACTTTATAAAGTTCGTAGGAGCTAAAATCCTACGGTTGTTGGAATACATGCAGTTCAGGAAAGGAATATAATGACTAAAAGTCGGTCGATCCGGAAGAAAAGATCACCAAAGAAAAAATGTTATGAAAATATCATGTTTTTCTCTGAAAGCAGTTTGTTCTACATCGGCTATACTGCAGCCAATTGCCAATTGGCCTAAAGTATATAAAATATAGTTATAGTTACGTATTTCTCCAAACTGACCTTAAAACACTTTTGTTTTTCAGTGTATAGTGCAGTATATATAGTACATCATATCATAAGCGATCACTATTATTCATAGAGTCAACTTTTACTAACTTCCGACTAATATTACGTCGTACAATAAAAAAGCTTTCATTTTCTATGATCCAACAGTAATTAGAATAAAAGTTTTAATGCTAAGCCTTGATAAATATCTGTTTTTTTTTCTTACATAATATTTATGTCTTTCCTAGCCTTAGTAATATTGTATAAATGCAACACAAGAATAGTAAAGAGCCATAAAAATAATTAGCTATCAACTATTAGGATGTAACACATAAAACATTTACGAAGGTATTTTCTACCCAACCCTGTGTATTTTAAATAAAAAATGCTTGTAGTGTTTTTCTGTGTACCACTAATGCGGATCAATATTTCTATCTCTCAAAATAAACCTAAATAACTGTTTATATCCCGCTTGACTTCAGCCTACAAGACGGGTTTAATCTTTTAATAAAATAAACAAACATTTTTACTGGTTAACTGGAATTAGAATAGAACGATACACAGCGGAATACTCCGCTCCTGCTATCATCCATTGCAGCGCGCGCAAATAGTGACGTAGTGCATATCGCCATTGGTCTTCCTTACAGCGTGACGTCATCGGTATAACGATTACCAAACCAGACCCCATAACCCCGCGCTTCCGCTCGTTCCCCGCGCGTTTAAACCGTTTGTTGGGTTGGATGAGGCCAGGCCAGTGCATAACGCGAGAACTAGCAGAGTGAGGTGAGGATTCAATTCAGTTAGGTATAACGCTTTGTTTAGTGTGAGTTCCGTTATGGCGTAGTGTTTCAAAACGCGAAATTTAGTGACGATATTGTTTTAAGTGTGTAAAGAGATTGAATTTTAATGGTGAAGATGTCGGTAATGCAAATTCAGCAGGCCAAAAGGCAACAGTGTTATCTTTGTGACCTTCCGAGAATGCCATGGGCAATGGTACACGATTTTTCTGAAGCGGTATGTAGAGGATGTGTAAATTATGAAGGTGCTGACAGAATCGAAATAGTTATAGAAACTGCTCGACAAATGAAACGAGCTCACGGATTTCAGGAACAGCGATCCGCTCATAATGCAAAGACCCACAGAAGTACCACTTCGTTAGAACACCAAAATGGTGAAGTAGTTGCCTCGTCAAGTAGACAACAAAGTGCTCCTCATCATACTACCACTTATGGACTTCACCATTCGAGGTCGAATATGTTGGCAGAGTATCAAGCTGCTCAACAACAAGCTCCTGTGCCTCCCAGAGGGAGAACACAGCTAGAAGCTACACAAGAACACGAAATTGTTGCACGAACCTCAGTGAGATTGCCAACGGCAGCCCATTTGGCTGCTCATCACCAGTTGCAAACTCATCATCATTCTAACAATAGCAGGCCTGGTACGATACCCCAACAGGGAATTAAAAGAGGGTTAACTTCGACAGATGACGATGATCACCATGGTCATCATCATTCCAACGGAGATATCGGCGGAGCTAAAAGAATGCTTTCAGTTGACGAGCACGGTAATGCCGTCAGGCCCCCATTAACTAGGGGAGACTCCCTTCCTGCCGTTTCGCTAGCACAGCCTTTTGTTATTTCGACGGAAAGAACGTTTAAACAAGAGAAACACCCTATTCGAACAGCTTCCTTTGACGCAGGAACTGCATTTAAACCTAATGGTAAGTTATCATCTACATTACGTTAAATTTTTGCATAAGATGGAATTTATAACAAACCAGCTGTTGAATTACCTAATATATTCTGAATATACTGCGTATTTGTTTTATCAATGTACATATTTTTTTCGAAAACTAAGAATGTGTTCTATGTATATCCAGCCAATTCATTTAAAAGCATATGTGGATAGTGATGTTGCCAGCGTTGTCATATTTTTATTTTCAGAATGATTTTTTTAAATTACAGTACTTCCAAGAAATTGGTTTGTTTTTTAATTAATTGTATTATATTTATATAACGGAAATATCAGACTGAGAATTGTTATGAAAACTATTTGTGTATCTCGAAAGTGCCTTCCGCTTTCTTATCAGTAACAACTGAATAAAATATCTACATTTTATTATATTTATCTAGACATAGAAAAAGCCCAATGTACAGTCATTAAACATTTTTATAACCGGCAATATACGGGATGTAGATGATGAAAGTAGTTAAATGCTGATTAAAAACATTTGGGCGATAGCGAGTTGTGCTATACAAATATAACAATGACGACAGCGTCATCCTTACGTGTCTAGAATAGCGTGACGTCATAACACTGTTTTAAAGGAATTGATATTGGCTGACTGGTATTATTTAAGTTTATTCACTCCTTTCAAATTTAAGCATTCGTAAATTACAATGATTGCTAAACGACTGTTGCAATTAGGATGAATGAGATATCTAGATGTAACATCCTTAGTTATAAATATTGGATGTTTCAACAACTTTCTAAAGTTTTTATTCATGAATTTAATGACGTAAAAATGAACAGGTGACTAGGTCGGTCTAACGGCAAATTGTTGGCTTCCTTAATTAGTCTTAATGCAGAATTATGTTATATTTTCTACTTTTTGAGCGTGTTCTTGTCTTCAGTATTAATTTAATTAACCAAAAGTAAGATTTTCACGGAACAAACTATATTTTTATAAGAACCAGTTGGACTATTTTAGTAATGATGTTTAGGCATAATTTAAGTATTCTTTATAGCATTTTCACGCGTCACGTAATACATTGCAATTGAAATTATCAATAATTATTTGACCTGCAACAGAAAATGTAGCACTTATTTGGCAACCTTAAAATTAGTATTCCGAAAGTAAATAGGTACACGTTGAACAGTAGTACCAAAGAATTACTATTCCATGATTTAAATTTGTTGTTTATTCTATACATCCTTTTCTACTACAATCCCTATATGGAAAACATATATAACTCTCCATACCATGATCTGTTACTAACGGAACATTTCGGAAAAGTGTGGAATAATAATCTGTTAAGTATATGTACTACACATTTTAAAAATCCTTTCTTATTTAATACTAGCCCTCTTCGTGAGGTGCTATGTTCTTTGGAAAGTTGCCAATCGTCATAATTATTTGGATCCTGATAATTGCTCTTGTGAAGAACTTGTAAATGAACATCTGAAAACCATTCTCTGAAGCTGTGTAGCCAAGACATTTGCCTCTGACCAATACTAGGTGTTCCAAGATCCAAGATTTCTTTCTGCATAGGTAATATCTTTTAGTATCTGGTAGTGTGATTCTCTCATAACTTGACCAATATATTGGGAGTTTTCTTATCGTTATTTCATCAACTAGCTCTGATCTCTTTTCGTAACACTTTCGATTTATTATAAGATCGTAAGTATTGATAATCTGTATATAGGTATCTATGTACAATATTTTTAGTAGAACTTCTATAGTTCTAGTCTTCTATACAACCACATCTCAAACGCTTCAAGTTTTTTTCATCATGGATTTAGTAAAAATGGCCGCTTCCATATCTTATAAGGTGATCGTGAATGCATAACATCTCAGCATACGGATTTTGAGATTTATCTTCTTCTTAGGGTGCCTGTCCGTTCCGAATGTTGGCGATTATTCTGGCTATGATGACTTTGATGGTTGCTATATGAAATAGCTGTTAGCAAGCCAGGATATTCTTCTCCTCCTGGGGCCCTTTTTCCTTTTATACTTAATATTTTATTGCTAAAGAATTGTTTCAGTCTGATAAGTAAGCATGAAATTGCAATTCCTTATTTTCAATTGAAAAATCTTGTATGTACTTCCTTTCACTGAACTTATAGTATGCGGCAATCAAAAACTAAAGTTCCTCCATCACCAGTATGCAACAAATTTTAGAAAAAAAACAGAACATCGTGCATTAGAACACTAGTTTTGAAAAAATGGCTAAGAAGATAGGCCTAATGACCAATACATTCAAAATAAAATATATGGCAGTAAGTAAAGCACAGTTTCAAATAATCCCTTGGAGGTAGAGAAAGTAGATGATAGTGCTTCTGATATACAAAGAATATTAGCATCCAACATGTGCTACCATGGACTGGCCTCACTACCGAGGTCAAAATTTGACATTATAAAACAGTGATCCATCCACATACGCGGCAGACATGTTAATAATGAAAAAAATGGACGGAAAACAATGAGGAAATGTTAGGATGATCCAATACCAATTATACAAAGAACATAAAATTGTAGGTACAATATATCAATTCCCCAACAATCTGTTGCAGCAGTCAGTGGGAATAAGAAAGAGAGCTAGGCTAACAAAAATCGATATCTAAATGACATCAAAGAAGAAGTTGCGAGACAGATGTTGCCGTGAACAGCATGTGCTCGAAATAGAGTAGAATGGGAGAAGCTTTCTTGTTTTGATGGTTTCTATTATTTCCATTCACTTGTTCATTCTTCTCATGACTTTGTGATTTGTAATGTGCTCTGTCCCTGATACATTCAGGATTCTCTTCTACACTGTGCATCCAGCTTCTTAGTAGTCACTGCATGTAGGTTCATGCTTTCATTCTGGGTCAAGAAAATATAGTACGTTGCCAGTCTAACTTGCATGTCTCTTGAGCAAAGCACCTTTCTCAATTTGTTTATGCCTTTTCTATATATGTATACTTTGTTGGGGTATTGTTTGTGATTGATTCATTAGATCTAGGGTAGGTTAAGGATTTGTTATTCAAGGAAACATAGAAGGCTGAAGAGCCCCAACAAGATGGATCAATCAAATTATAGGAATTTGCAAAAACCTATGCGTGAGTTAAAAGAAATGACCAGAGACAGAGATCTTTGGAGAGGGACAATACACAACATTACAATGACCACTGCACTCCCTCAGGGATCAGGATTGAAGAGAGTTAGGTTAAGATGTTTACTTGTTCAAGAGTCTTGCTGTTGATTATCGTGTTTTTGATTTTGTTGATCAAATTTTGTGTTATGGTCTATCAATTGGATCTATATATTGGCAATTCCTCTACGTATCTTTGGCCCAGAAAGAACTGTCCTGAAGAATTCGAAGTTTATACATTGTACAAAGAGTGTAGCCTAGTATGAAGTTGTGGTCTGGAACTGTTTCTTCTTAAACTTTCATCTGCAATTGCTGCAAGTATTATGCGACAGTATATCCGTTGCTACATTGCCTTTAATAATTCATATGCCACAGTAGCAAACGAAACTTCCTGAATAAAACAGACCACAGCCCACAAAAATCCATGTACTTTTAGAGATTACTGCGGTTAAATTAAAAAAATTGCAGCATATATTTATTGTTATTGTCTACCTCATACATAAAAATATGATTTACATTAAGCAAAATCTGTATAACTTAATAATAAACAGGTATGCAAATATTATAGGGGAAAAACTACTGATGACAATCCTGTGCTAAAATGAACAAGCCTTGGTGATAAATTATATATTTCATCATTTTATAGACCTATAATCTTTTATCTGAAATACCACATTTGTATAATGATAAGATATTATTTATTTTTAGATTGGTTGCTATTCTAGTAGAACATCTTTAAATTTTACTGGATATGATTGGGTAATGAAGTGATTTATTTCAACCATTGCTACAATACTTTTTGTGGCACAGTATTGTTAACTAGGTTTAAGAGTTTTAATTATATAGAAATTCTATTATTGATATTTCCATAATTTTTCCTATCTTTGACAAAAGGAAATAATAACAAGGCATCCTATTGGGAGATCTAGACATAATCCAGGTTAGAGAACTTATTCTTAACCTGTTTATATGGTCAATTTTATTCATAGTTTTTAAGGCTGAGGGCCTAAGATGTTTTATCCCTTTTTCAAGATTACTCGTATGCTATGCTACTTGTATGCTGGATATCAGGCAAATCAAAATTGAATATCTTAGGTATATCATTGGTGAATCAGCTGACATTTTTTGTATTTCTGAGATAAAATTTGCCCTTCTGATAATAAATATCACTACTTATATAAGATTTTAACAGCTTCCAAAAAAACCAAGAGACTTATTTTGCAACCATTCATCTATGGTTACAGTTTTCTGAGTGTCTGCATTTCCACAAACAGTTTCCAGGCCAATTTATCAATCTTCCTGTTGCCCCTGTAACCCATATGCTATGTTTTCTCTTTTTTCCATTAGCATTAAGCATTAGCATCTTAATATATAATTTATATTTTTTAATCTTCAGAATATAGCCGAGAGATAAGTTCTGCGTTGTGTCTGCAGCTTCAATTCGATTTTGTATTTCTTGTGTGATGTGGTCTGTCCATTGGATTCAGAAAAGTTTTCGTAATGTCCACATTTCAAAACCTTCTATGCGACTCTTAGATCTTAGTTTCATTGACCATGATTTAGTGTAGTATACAGTATGTTTGGATATGAGGACCGTAAGTCAGCTTCTGGTCAAATATTATTCCTAAGCACCTGGCCAGACCTACAAAAATTGAATATCCTCTCCTCTGAGCCCTGGTCAATATAGTTCTTGAAGTGCCCTCCTTTTAGTAAAGGAGCTGTGTTCCTTTTCACAAAATTTGCCAGTCCGTCTAGACAGTAAAATCCTCTCCTCAACAATATTAATAATAGTTAGTTTTTTAATGTGGCCACAATGTGGCCACTTATTATCTTCACCTCAATGTGAGCATTCTTTCATGAAGACACAACG